GCGACGGTTCCGTGATCCACAAACAAGGCGGACGGTGCTTTTCTACCCCCCACACCGACACCTCCCTGGTTTTCTAACATTTTTCTTCACTCAACCAAACGGAGGACAACGACACAACATGAACGGAAGCGATGATGTTATCTATATTTGCACAAGGCCCCGATCGGGCGGGTNNGGGGCCCCGATCGGGCGGGTCTACCGCGCCTGCAACCATCACGCCTACTAGTCCAACTGGCTCCAGAGTCCACTATGATCTCGTCGGCAATGCCCGGCATACATCCTGTCGTCGAGCCTGTGAACCATCTTCCTTTTGAATAGCACACATAGCCGTGGCCGACGACTCGGACCGAAATCGAGATTAGCGCTTCCACGCGACCTGACGGTTCCTTACGAGATTAGAAACAAGTGTGTTCAATTAGGCTGGGCACCAAAGGGTGGCAGAGGAAAGCGGCTTGCCGGGTTCAGAATCTTTCGCACAGCGCTGAGACGCAGCACTCTTGAACGCCGCACGGCAGCGGATGACATCACGGACCCATGGATCCCGGTCCGCCCAGCCCGTAAGATACCTTTCGCGCAAGAAATCACGCTGGATGAAGCAGAGGACGCTACAATCAAGACGGGCAACACCTCGCCCGGAGCCGACAACATCACGGTCAAGCTGCTGCAAGCAGTATGGGACATCATTGGGGGACACGTCTGTCGCCTCTATCAGGGATGCCTAACGGTTGGCCATCACCCTGGAGTATTTCGAGAAGCAGAAGTGGTCATGATCCCCAAGCCGGGAAAGAGAAATCTGTCGACCCCCAGGGCATGGCGCCCTATCTCTCTGCTCTCCTGTCTTGGGAAGGGCCTCGAGCGGCTGATCGCTCGCCGTCTAGCGTGGGCATCGATTCATTATGCAGCCCTCCACCCACAGCAAGTCGGCGCGCTCCCGAAACGGTCTGCCGTTATGACATCGAGGAAGCATTCGCACGCGGACAGGTGGCCACACTGGTCACAGCAGACATCCAAGGAGCCTTTGACACAGCCATGTGCAACAGGCTTGTCCTGAGGCTCCGTGAGCAAGGCTGGCCCGACAATCTTGCGCGGTGGGCAGGCTCGTTCATGAGCGGCCGCTCCGCAAGAGTCAGATACCAAGACATCACGACACCGACGACACCATTGCAGTGCGGCCTTCCACAGGGATCGCCCGTGTCTCCGATCTTGTTTTTGCTCTACACCGAACCGATCTATCGGCTAGGCAACCCCGAAGGACGGTTCGGGTTACGCGGATGACACTGCCATTCTCTGCACTGGACAATCGTTGGAAGAACCATCGCGAAGAGCGCCCGAGTATATTCAAGAACTCGTGAACTGGGCGCCGCCAACGGCATTTCAATCGACCTCGAGAAGACAGAGGTCATGCACTTCTCACTGAGGGCGCGGGAAACTATGCTGACTATTCGCCATGGTGACGCTGTGAAGCATCCAGAAGTGGCCATGCGCTGGCTAGGCCTCTGGCTTGATAGCCAAAGCCCAGACGGTCGCCCACCACCTCCGGAGCCTAGGGAACACCCGGCGCGGCCCCCTGTCGAGTGCTGTGCAGAGGGCCGTCAGAGCCTGTGTCGAACCCATTTGCTTTCCGGCGT